AAATTCAAAAATTTAAGACAAAAAGACAAAAAATATACTTAAAAAATTATTAAAATTAAAATATAGAAATTCAAAAATTTTAAGTGAAAAGATAAAAATATACTTAAAAAATTATTAAAATTAAATTATTTAAATATATAATAATATTATTACAAATAAATTATAATATATAAAATAAAAATAAAATAAGTAAATAATTTAAAAATTGAAAGAATAAAATATTATAAAAATTATTTAAATAAATTATTAAAAATATAAAATATAAAAAACTGTACCAGTACCCTTTTAAATAAGATGGGTACCATAAAATTTGTCTTAAATCTTTTGTCAGCTATACATTTTCTTTCATGTAGGCCAACGCGCTTTCTGATTTGTGGTTTTCTACACATTTTCAACATACAGGAAACATACCGTGTATTTCCTTTAAAGAAAATAATTACAAAAAGACAAAAACATAACAGGCGGCTAGCTCGAACGCGTTTCGGCCCTTTCTCTTTATTTTTTTTAGGGTTTAATTTTTTTTAAGTATGTATAAATTTAAATTTAAATATTTATTATAAATTAGCTTTAAAAATTAAGTAATATTAATTTATAATTAATAAATTATTTAAAATTAAATAAAAAATAATAAAGCATTTTTTAAGGACATTACTCTTGTATGATATAGTAGAAATAACAAAAAAAATTGGTTAGAGTGAGAAGAAATGCATAAAAAATAAAATTAGAGTATCGTTCTGCTCGTATGAATTGTACTGTGTGAGAAATAAAAAAGTCACTCAATACACGAAAATAGAGTAGACAAATTATTGTGAATACATTTTGTTGTTAATAATTGTAGGTAGTACCACTCACAAATACACGTCAACATTTTTTGTTTAATTTTTTTTATAACATGTTAAAGGTAAATCAATGTTGTTTAATTTTGAAAACTAAAAAGACCAAATTAGTAACTAAAATATCGAGAATCAAAATTATAAATTTATGAAATTATAGAAATGAAAAGTAAATATAAGGATTTGACTTTTATAAAGAAAGGAAGTGAACTTTAGAGGATAAAGTGCATTTATAATTGTTGATTATAAAATCGATTAAGAATTATGATATAATAAATTCTTACAAAATAAAACTTAAAATTAAATATAATATTGATCATTGATTTTTTAATCAATGGTTATTATTGCATTTTATTCTCTAGAGTACAATTCCTTTACTTTAGAGTAGGTAGATCCTAAATTTAGCCTTTTTTTTTAATGGTTTCTTGTTTATCCATTTTCATTTTTATCCTAAATTTAATCCTTATTTTCATTTTTAATAAGACTAAGAGTCTCTCTCTAAATCACGTTTAACATTATCAATCTCATGTTCGACATCACCAAGATAAATAACCTTTACCTTACCCATGATTGACGCTATTCAACCCACATTTGGCATTATCAAGGCAAAGAGTCACTCACTTGATCACACTCAATACCACTCATTATGTGCCTTGCATTACTAAGTCAAAAAACTCCTAATATAATGCTTAGTGCCTTTTAACCCTCGTCCAATATAGCTAAGTCAAAGAGCTTTTAACTAAATCAGGTTCGACACTACTCAACTTGTGTATGCATTAATGAGGCTAGAGCCTCTAACTTGCATCATGCTTGGTGTCATGAAGTTGCACCTAACACAAAGATGATTTATGTACTTCTTAGAACCACAATTTAGATTAAACCACCTAAAATCCTTTTCTAATCCAATATGCAACTCACCAAACAACACAATATAATATAAGCAACTCAAATGTCTAGAAAAATTCAACATGTAACCAACAAGAATTCACAAATCACTAACTTCCTCTCACTTACCAAAAACAACAAAAGAATCAAAACACCAAGGCTTCCATCTCTTCGTTCAACAACATAGCCACAATTTGATGAATTAAGGTAATCTACAACTCATGCAACACAATATCAATTTTACAAGCTTCCTTTATCTCAATTGCTCTTAAAAACAAGGAAAAAGAGAATAAACTCTAAACTCTCGCATGACTACTTCTCTTTCTAATTCTCAATTCCTCAGTTTCGAATCTAAATATAACAACTCAATCTAAGCTTTAAGGAAGGATTAGTTTTGAATCTCAACATAGCAACTCAATCTAAGCTTCAAGGAAGGATGATAGCTCTACTATAGAGTTAGAAGGAAGTAGGATCACTAATAGCTTTAATGTTTATCTCTCTAACTTCTTTCTAAAAAAATTTAAAAAAATGAACTTGTAAAGTTTAAATCTTAAAAAAATCTTAGATACCTTTTTCTTAACTTGGTCAATTTTGACATCAACTCAAAACAACTATGTAACAACTAAACTTTTTAGGATTCTTTAATCCTAAAAGTTTTATAGATTAAACCAACATATCAACAATTATTCAATTAAATAACAAAATTTACAATACAATGTTACATAGGATTCACCATAGAATTGTAAAAATAAAATTAATTTAACAGTAAATGTTAATAGTCCACCATAAACCACCTAATTCCCTTCCCCACCCTAGCCTCCATGGTACTTGCAACCTTTTTACAAATTATGAATAATTAAAAGTTAATTTTCATAACACCAATTTATTTTATACATTTGTCCTGCACTTCAAATTTGTAGGCCTATAGAGGTCATGCAGAAATACTCACCCCTTTGTAAGCCTGGATAGGCCACATAGAAATACTAATCAATCAACAGGAACCGCCAATCCTTGTTCAGCTTAGAGAGGTTGAGCTCAAGGAATACTCAAACCTTCAATAAGCTTGGAGAGGTCGCATAGAAATACTCAATGGTCAGCAAGAATCACTAATCCTTGTGCAGCTTGGAGAGGTTGAGCTCAAGGAATACTCAACTTTATAGGCCCAGAGAGGTTGCATAGAAATACTTAACATCCTGAGTGATCTTGGAGAAGATCGATAAAGATGAACTCAATTGCTCAAGCTGCAGGATAATAGTCGATCTTGTAGAGCAACAACATCTACACCTAACCTAAAGAGGTTGCACATAATAATACTCAACCTTCAGAGACCTATTTATGTATGTAGCAGTCAAAATACAATCTCCCCAAAAATCTATTGGCACTTTGGACTGAAGCATCAAGGATCATGCCACATTTAAAAGATGTTGATGTTTCCTCTCAGCTACTGAATCCTGATATGGTGTGTAAGGACATGAAAACTGATGCAATGTTCCTTCATTAGCTAAAAAACCAATTAATAAAAATTCCTTGGCATTATCACTCCTCAAACATTTTATAGATTATCAAACTGAGTTTTAACAAGTTTGAAAAAAATTTGTATACAAACAGAAGTTGATCTTTGGATTTCAAGAGAAAAATCCTTGTAAATCTACTATGATCATCAACAAAAGTGAGAAAGAACTTGTGATTGTCATAAGTGGCAATATGAAAAAGTCCCCAAATGTCACAATGATCTAAGTCAAAACAATCATCAGCCAAGTTGTTATTGTTATGAAAAGGAAGGCATTTTTGCTTAGCTAAAAGACATATACAACAATCTTTGCATGAAAAATTACTAGGCAAGTGCAAACTCTTATTAGCATGAATCATTCTTAGTACATCATCAAATAAATGGCCTAATTTGTAGTACCATTTGTTTACAGTAGTAGTCGTATCAATGTTATTACTAATAGTTGCAACAATATGATTTGGTGAATGCAAAAAACAAAAAAAAACTAGAAGACTTAATGTTTGGAATTTTGAGAATGTAGAGGCCATCTAGGATGTTACCATTGCCAATCAGCCTTGAATCCTAGTGATCCTGTATGGCAAAAGAAGAATGATCAAAAAGAATATTGTTCCTAGTAAACTGAGTTAGGGAAATTACGAATATAAGATTGACTTTAAAGTCTAGTATAAACAAGACTTTGTGGAGAATGAAATTGTTACTCAATTTAATAGTGTCAATGGCTTTTACTTTAATAGCACTTCCAATGGGAAGGTAAACAAATTGATGGTCTAATTTGCTATAGCAAACACAATTATCCATAGAACATGTAATATGTGTAATAACCCCAGAGTCTACTATCTAGAGTGAGGAATTTCCTTTGTTTGGATATGTAGTGAAGGCCAAGTTCTTGAAAAAAGAAAAACTCAACTTACCATTTTTTGGTGAGTTTAAGGAGTTATACTACTATAATATTCCAGTAGGTGCAACCTGACTTTGAAAAAGGTTTAGAAGGTGATCATATTGAGCCTTTGTCAACTGCATTGGGTTATCTCCTGTGTTGGAATCATTTGAATTAGTGACGATTTACATTTGGAGTGGATTTTTTGTAACTTGCAGGATATCTATGCTTCTTATAAAATTTGTTTTCTTTATGG